ATGGTCTGTCAAAATAATGATAGAATTGATTCAGACCTCAATTTGATAATTCTGTACGTAAACTAGATAGTGAATGATGAAAGACTAAAATCAGCTCGGAGTGATTGGAATGTTGGAGTTACTGATCATGACTAATAACTTATAGGCGGTCAATCATTTGTTGACTAGGCAGAAAGTATTCACGTGATCCACAGTATCCTTACATCGGACAGTCAGTACCCCCCACTCCGGGGTAGTGGGGTCTTGCTGCACAGTAAAAGTTAAAAATTATTTATTGGAGGGACTTTCCTCCCCTCCATGCACACAATTTTTCTTCATATGGTAATACCATTTCAGACAACAGATTCCCAATATCATCGTTGTCTATCATACACTCAAAAAATGTGGACACATATATTGCTATACAGAATTCAATGGTCACATAAAACAATGATATCAATGTTAGATCGAGTGGCATATGATCTAAAGATACAGCTAGGAAGGAGGGAATAATGGCTCATATAAATGGAAAAAAAGTAACTTGGCTAGCGACTTGCAATGCATGTCCATCCTCCCAATAACACCAATGCTTATAAACTCAAATATCATCGAAAACTCCGTTGCCGAAAACTCCTGTCCCTCCCCTTCATCATATAGAAACAGAATATGAAGCTAATATGCCACCAGATTAACTCCCCAATAAAACTCAATATCAACTCGGGCTTCAAAATCCCTGCGGTCCCTTTCCATCCAGGCCTCCAGTTCTGAAGAACTCTGTTACCACGCCAATCGCATAGCATCCACTGCCTACAATGGCACCGCCTAATAACACTCTCTTTGCCTTGCCAGGCTTCTTGCTCTTAATTTCCGAGTGATCTTTCCAGGAAGATTTACCACTGAATACCGGTTCCTCGCGTCGAACGTCAATGTTTGATTTGAACGGTGGTTCTGCTGATTCTGGCAAATCATGATTCACGAAACCTGTAGGACTGGCGAATCGCGCCGTTGCCACCTGCATACCATCTATTGGATTTGTTGTATTATTCTTCAGATCAGCCTGCGAGGACGAGCGTCTTGCTGGTCGTACCTTGCGGAATACAAGAACATCACCACTTCCAGATACAATTTCATAACCCTCAGCCTGCAATGGTTGGAAGTGTGGAAAGAACTTCGCGGGGTTAGACAACCGAAGGAGAACCTCTGCAGGAGTCAAAGCTGATGCTGTATCAGTCACAATAGATGTTGTTTCAGCGATATTGATGGACTGCATTGTCGAGTCATAAGCCAAAACCTTATAAGTGGTTGGCTCAGGGCCCGATGTAGGGTTTTCTCCGGATGAACTTGCAGCTGGTGCATCATTTGTAGGTACTTGACGATGTTTGGAGCCAATCTTCCCATAAGTGTCTTCATAGATTCCTCGGATTTCGCGCACTAGATCTTTGTCCTTACCAGATTGCTTTCTGGGCTTTCCATAAGATGAAACATAAACCGATAAATCTCCTTCGCCTTGGTTTGCGCATTCCTCTTTATATGACGTCTCTAAACCTTGAGGTACCTTCGAGTACGGATCAGTTTCTGCTATTGCTTTGGGCAAATTGGGCTGAAGAGATTTCGACTTTGTCGCAGATCGATCCAAGGATGTTTGAAGTCTTGGTGTGTTTGGGTTTCGAGAAAATGCTTCTTTCGAACCAAGACCTTCAATATATTCCTTCTCGGCCTTCTGAACAGATTGCTTGACCTCCGTTGAATAGGAAAGCTCTAGTCCCTTGGGCGACTTGTCATAACCCCAAGCATCTTTAGACACTGTTGGCATCAATTCTCCTGTGCCATCTTTTTGTTGCGACCAAGATTTCTCAAATTTTTCTGGAAAATCCCGAACAAAGTTTCCTGTGACTTTTCGTTTCTCGACTTGTCCTGCATTCTTATGATCTTTTTGATTCAGGGTCTCTGGATCTTCCGCAGTCTTGAAGGCAGAGGGGCCGGGAGTTTCCTGTGTCTTGTTTTGTGTCTGTCCTTTCAATTTCTGCTCCGAGGCAATGTCTTGAGCATATTTAATTACATTTTGATGCGCTTCCTTAAAAGCCTTTTCCAGTTGCTCTCTCTTAGCAGACTTCTCTTCAAGAGTTTCTTTCCTTGTACTCTTGATTATACCCGAAGCAGCGCGTATGTCACTTGCTCGAAGCAGGTCAAGATCTTCTCTTGTATCTGGCTCCGGGTATTTGCGCGAGAATTTTGAGGATAGGGAAGTTTTTGTTTCTACATCTTTTTCGGGGCCAGGATGTTGGGTGACTTTTGCTTGCTTCTGATCATACTCCTTCAATGCTTCGCGTGTCTGATCAGGGCTTTCAGGAAACTTTCCGTCGGGCTCATTATAACGAAACGATCCATAAGAAGTATCCGCATCATAATCTTTCAAACTTTCTCGAACTGAATCGGGCTTTTCGGGGAGTTTTCCATCCGGCTCATTATATCGAAAGGATCCATATGAATTGCCTGTATCATATTCCTTCAGCGATTCTTGTACTGCATCTGGCTCCTCAGGAAATTTTCCATCAGGCTCATTATATCGAAACGATCCGTAAGAAGTATCGGCATCATAATCTTTCAAACTCTCTCGAACCGCATCTGGCTGTTCGGGCAACTTTCCATCAGGCTCGTTGTGACGGAAGAACCCATAAGTTGTGTGTGAATCATAATCTTTCAATGATTCCTGAACACAATCTGGTTGCTCTGGCAGCTTTCCATCAGGCTCTCTATATCGAAAAGCGTTATAAGATGTACAACAGTCATAATCTTTGAGTCCTTCTTGTACGGGATCGGCCTTTAGTGACGGTTGTCCGTCCGGTTCGTTATGAAAAAATGCCTTGTATCCTTTACTCTCGTATTCCTTCAGAGATTCTCGTACAGAGTCAGGTTGCTCGGGGAATTTCCCATCAGGTTCATTGTACATGAATGGTTTGTTATAGGCATCAATATCAGCTTGAGTGGCATCATCTGGCGGGACTAAATTTTGAAATCGCTGACGATATCCCTTAAACTTCGTTACTGGAATGTTTACAGCTTTTTCATTCTTGAACACCTTTCGATTTGTGATCGGGTCTATCTGGTAGTTCTCATTTTCCAGCTCGAATTCATCGTCCAACTGGTTTTTGGACTTCAAGTTTCTCCAGTATGCTTCGTCAGCTTGCGATAATCGGATTGATTCCACACCACCATCCGTACCTTCAACATCGGCTTTGAATGTGTACTTGGAGCGGGCGGGAGAAAAATAGATTGTTTTGCTGCGCATGAAGTTATGCATGGCACGTTTGTAATCCGGAACACGCTCATCACGCTTAACGCTTTTGGCCTCGACATACTTCTGTTTTGAGAGTCGATGACGGCGATTGAGCTCTTTTTCAACTCCATCAAGGTATGAAGACCAATAACCCATTCGAAATGCTCGTGTTTGATTGTGCGGACCTTGGTTTAAGAATAATCCTTGTGCATTGTGCCAACTACGATTCGATACTCGGAGTAGATTGGTAGAGGTAGAAATAGATCCATATCGAATCAGAGGAGATGTGGTCTGCGAGACCGAGGTGGTGAGCTGGGACAGCATCTCGAAGAATTATTCCGATCGTATCATGCTCGGGGACCTAAATAAGGTTTAACAAAATGACATACGTCCAGGGACAATTATACTCACGAATAAAGTTTCATTCAACTCAGCCTTTAAAGTTGGCTATTTGGCAGGAATTGCGTTGAAGTAGGGGAATTCAAATGCAATCTTATAATCAAGAGATGATGCTATTTAAGTTAGAATGGCGAACTTGTCGGAATGGTCCTTTTGACATAACAATAAGAGCTCTCGGAACATTGGAATAACTTTAAACAAGGAAATGGCCTCTGAATATCAAAAGCCCTTTGGTATATAGAGACGAAGTGTCAAAAGGAAAAACACAAAGGATAATGCAGTGATATTTAAACCAAGAGCTGAAAACTTACCAGATTGGTCGCTTTATTCCGGTGCTTGTTGGATGGATGAATGGATGAACGGAAGGCAGGAAACTTTGATTTCCTTTCTTTTGCTTGTGATTGATTAATCGACCGATTGATTGATTGATTGCCCAATATGAACTGATTAGATACCGAATCAAATCAAATCAAATCAACAAATGAAGTAAGCGCGTATGATATAATATGTTATGATTGCAAACAGCCAACGGAAAAACTCTCTCAAGTACGTCTGTCTGTCTCTTCTTCGTCCAACTCGCAGTGAGGGTATATGGATATCGATACCGGCAAGTAAGTAAAGTAAAAGAGTAAGAAGAAGAAGAAGGAGAAGAAGAGAAGAAGAAGAAGCAATCAGGAAAGCATCAGTTGATAACCTAACCTCCTAACCTAACCTCACCTACCTACCTTAATCAATACGATACCACACGATCAAGAAGAGGATAGCTCAAAGGCTGAGTATGGCTCGGTATAGGTAGCATGCGGGTATGTCCACCACCTTTCATGCACTTTGGTTGCGGGGTAATACGATTAGGAGATCCACTATGGATGCTAACCCCGAGGTTTCCCGAGCTGGATGGAGGAGTGTCAGGGTGTTCCAGGGTGCTTCCCTTGTGTCTGGCTGGTGCACGGCCTTTCCCGCGCGGGACAAAGTTGGTTGGTTGGCTGTTGGCTGTTGGTGGGGTTGTGTGCCTGAGGCATGGTTGGAGATCACATGCGCAAGCTGGCTGGTAGGAAGATTGATATTACAGTTTGTGTCTTATTATTATTACTGTTGAACATTCAATGAGGTACTTGAATTGGATATTTACAAAGGAAATATGAATATGAATATGTCATCTTGATATCGATTTATTCTAATTACAAATTGAAGTGAAGAGTAGATCTCCTCGTCATTAATCTAATCTCTCTTTTCCAAACCCAATCATTCCAAATTCCTCTTCTCTCATCTAGAAGCTAATAAGCTACCATAACATACTTTCACCCATCTCTTTAATCTATATTTTCCTCTTCCCATATCTAATAACCTAACGACCATAGTTAAAAGCACAACGACACAATGGACACGAGCTCTGGTTACTGCTCGCGAACCATTTAAACAGACATTGTCCATGGAATGTGTTCTTACAAGTTCCGCACTTCTTATCCGGCGTTTTCTTGTCGCTCGATATGATGCTGTAACAGATAGCACATTCGGTGTGTCCTTTAAGACTACCTTCAACATTACGACGGAAAGTAGTCAATCCATCGATCAGACTACCATTTGAGAATGTGATGGCACCCTGAACGATGAGTAGCCAACTTCTCCATTTTTTTTCTGGTACGGCAACACGATTGATACCCTCGACTTTAACGTTGTAGAAAGGATAGTTGGATGGAAATCGAATGACAATTTGTATGCTAGTATCATCGATTTCGTAGCTGGCAAAGATGGAACGTGCGCCCTTCGATGTTTTAATTTCGAGCTCTTTCTCGCCTCCTTCTTTAGCCTCCTTCGAAACTGCCCATTCATCGATTTCATCAAGTTTGTCAGAAATCAGAAGTGGAGTGAAGTATTTCTCTGTCCATGTCTCAACTGCTTGACGGGTCTGTTTGGATTGACAGTCAGAAAACCAAGCCTTTGCAAGATCGCCAGTGTGTCTAAGACATAAATGATATAGGTGAATGAGAAGCCATTGAAAGTTTCGCTCGTTTGTTTCACTGTCTGCTAGTGATGTGTCGTATGTGCGAATAGATGATTCATCAAAATGTGCCTTCTCAAGGTTGAGGGGCGTACCATTCGAATGGCCTAACACATCGAACAAAAATGTTAAGAATGATCCAAGGCAGTTTTCTGACTGGAGGTGATTGCAATAGTCTTTGCGCACTTTCCAAGACGCTGTGCTAAACGCGTCATAAACTAAATGCCACGAAAGTAAATAGCTACGAATCGAAGGAGGAAATTCTGCGAGCTCTTCGTCATCAAAGTTTCGAATAGATGGTGCGTCTAAGAGAAGAGATAGCAATTCTTCTGGCAATTGCGCATCTTTCTTTTCAAGAAGGGCATTGACCGAGATTTCCTCTTGCTCTGCAGGAATAGCCCGATGAAGAATACTAAATGCTGCAGATTGGACCATCCTATTCTCTGAAGCTACCAACGGGTAGAACTCGGAGATGTCATTAATATGACTTGAAGGTATATTAATTACTAGCCGCGACAAAATATTATCAACAAACTCGACTGGTTGCGTTGATTTAGATCTGGATAACTTGGTGAGTTTGATCAGACAATGAGATGCGGTCTCTCCATATTGAGCTCGAGCATCCTCAAGGTCATCATTGGCATCTTGTAAGCTTTGTAAAATTGAGAATAGTTTCAAAGACATCCCCATCATGGGGAGCATTTGGTCCTGGTGATCTTTATTTTCCATCGATTGCCAAATTTTGATGCAGAACTCGAGGGTTTTCTCCCAGTATGATCCGTAGACTGATTTGATCGCCGGGAGCAACTTTTGTAAAGCAAGACAAGACTCAGAAGAGAGCTGATAATTCGTGTCTGAAATTTCCGGGGTCCATGAAAGAATTTGCTTGACCGCAAACACTAATCGATTTTGTGCCACAGGAAGATCATCATTATCGTACACGGATAATGTTGCATTCAGGAGAACAAGTTGACCGAGAGTTTTTTCAGATTGAGCATCGGCACTAGCAACATCACTAATGATCCGGTTGCAAAGGTTGCTGACAAGCTGGCTAGTACTGAGGGTCTCGTGAAGCCCTGTCAAGATGGCAACAGCCCCAAGAATGTTCGATGTAGATGATTTGAGAATTTCGAGGCTGGAGATCCAATCTTCGCCTCCCACTTGCCATCCATGTTGTTCAACAAGTTTGGGTAGTAGATGGCTCAACACACGAGCTGAGTAGAACGACGTAGATGTATCGCCGCAGGAAGCATTTATCAGCTTTGAAATAAGGATGTGAACAATACCCGAAAATTCAAGCGGTGACTCCGACTCGAAACCATCTTGCCAAGCTTTCGAGTGTAGTACGATGAATGACCATGAATCTTGATATATTCGGTCCACAAAATCGCGCACGCCAGCAATAGCTTCTTCCGACGATAACACGAAAAGCTTGTTGTTCTCTAGTAGATCGAGCTGGTCATTGGCAAGTTCCACAGTCAAGCACATGAGATATATTATCTCGACAAGAGCATCCTTTGACAACCGATCAGGATGGTCTCGAATTAAATGTGCCGAATACATTGCCATTCTGAGAGCTACGGAATAGCCATCTAGATCTCTGCCAGGGCGACTACTATTGTTACCACTTTGTGCGCGCGCCAAGAATACAGCTCCCGCAAATGGTCTCATCACTCCCAAAGTAGCATTTGGTGCTTGATCCAACAGAGGGGCTAAAGCTTCGGACCATTTAGTTACACTTGGAAAGAGTCCGGGATGGTGCGAACTGTCGTCCAAGGTGCTGATAACCGCTTCTGCTTGTTGGACAAGTGTATCGATACTAAAAATTAACATCAGCCATTGCTCCCCCGCACAGTTATTAATTGCGGTTAAGCATTTCAAGGATTATACTCACGTCAGTGATTGAGGACTTGCGTTTTCCAGATTTCCTTTGAGTATATGAACTACAGAAGAAGTAGTGACACCACTTTCGTTGTCGACTACCGATCGTAAATTCATAGCCCGTTTACCAAGCTCAGAATCTGAGAGTTCTGTCAATGCCAAAAGTTTCGTGATTAAATCTACATGCGCTTCTCCGTCTCGAATAGCTTCAGGTCGTCTTTTGGATAGTAATTCGAGTGCCTGAAAGACAAGATTTACATTGGGGTTAGAAGCATTTAGTACAGAGATTAGGCTTTGAAGCAATAACTTTTCTGTTGATTTGGAGAACCCATTAAAAATTACTGCCGCTTCGAATAGTGCCCATTCCTCATTATTGCCTTCGACCACGTCACGAGAAGTCTCAAGGAGAACATCTTGGAGAGCTTGGTCATCACGAACCAAATCCGAAATTTCATTCGAAGATATCAGAGCTGTGATCGTTTTCTGTCGCTGCAGATTCTTGGGGGTCGATAGCAGAGCATCAATAGCCGTCTGCCAGATACTCTTATAAGAGTCTTGCTGCCCAGGAACTAAACTGAATTGGTCTAAAGCTGAAGTTAAGTATGAAGATGATGGCGACAAAAGAAATTTAGGAAGATGGGTGTCCATGAACGATTTGACGGCTTCCAAGACTGAGGGGGAGGCTTCCATTAGCTGCGGAGAGTATCTCAGCGCCGATTCTAGTACTGCCCCAGCCGAGTAGGGTTTCCCATTCCTGTTGATAATTACTTGGAGAGTACTATCTATAATATTGCTCGAAGGTTGAAGGAGTGGGTTTTGATCAGCTGTAAGATCCTTTAATTTGAAGACGTCAGACAGAAGTGAAAACCACCGGTGGCCTTCAGCCATGACAGCATCTTGAGAAGATGAATACTCTTTAGATTGCTCTGGCATTGATGTTTGAATTCTTGTGATAAAATTTTGGGCGAGCTTTTGCCATTCTTCGGCGAGAGAATTTTGTAAGTTGGAGTTCTTCGCTAAGCTAGAGATACAAGCAGATATAGTTGAAGATGGTGTATTGTTTCTGATGAGCCATTCGGAAGTTTCTGGGGATGGATGTAAATAATGCTCAAACATGGGATATATAGATTTCTGGACAATCTCCGCTTGCTGAGAAGTTGACAGGCTTACGATACAGATGTTGGATGTTTCTCCGTAAGCGAGCCATGCTTCTGAAGAGTTGGCCCTACTCTCCTCCCTCTGGTTGATACTCTTGCGAAATACCTCCAAGAACTCCAGGATAGAATTGGGGTTTTGAGGCAGAACATCTATTGGTAAAATTGCCACAAGAGCTCGCAATGTTTGCCAATAAGCAGCGGAAGAGCCTTGTGAGCCTTTTTGAACAAAAGAGATCAGGTCGCCTGTAGCAGTAAATCGTTTAGCCTTATACGCAGAAGTCCATACTTGAGGAAACTTTTTGGTTAGTTGGTGCAAAGTCTCCAATAGTTGCAAGGCAGATGTTAATTGAGGAGATCTCAATGCCTCAGATATGAATGCACGACTGATAGTCTCAAGGTTGTTCTCGACCAGTTGAGTTTGCTTCTCTAGGCAAAGCACGAGTAATTTATCAGTACTTTTTCTTGCGGAAGCATCTTCGCATGATGCCAGCGTCCATAGTTTTTTGTTGCCGAAAATAACCTTTTCGTACCTGTCTTGATGCTTAAGCATATCATCATCACCTAGCTTGGCTAGCAGATTGGCGAGAAGGGATACACTGGCGCTATTCACACGGAAGTACTTTTCGTTTGCTTCTTCTGTTGGGACAGATCTCTCGTCACTTAAAGTATTAGGAGTCTCATTCAAAGCTTCTTCGGCGTAGTCGAGGATCTCATTCTGGCAACGCTTCCAAAACATATTCATTTTAGCATCCGTATCGAGGAAAGATGTTAGACCATCCATCGCTGATCGTGCCACTGCTCGGTCTCTATCATATGTTCCTGCCAGCCAGCTTCCTACGACTTTGGGTATATATTTTTCCATTCTTTTCCGGGCTGATTTTAGAAGCTCATATTGTATGCTGTGAGACAGCTCGCGAACACGACGTGAATTATCTATGGAAATCCTAGGATAGGCATCAACCTGTATGTTGTGTTAGCAGAAGCACTCTAAGATTCCCTCGGCGCATCCTACCCAAGCTTCTAAAATTGCTTCTTCGGTGCCTCCTTGCTCGTTTGGCTGATTCTGAACGAACGTTCGCAAATCCTCTAGAGCTTTCGACTTCGTTGTAGCATCTTTCTTCGAAAGATTCTTAAATGATAGAATGACATTTGCATCACTAATGGAAGAGAGGTTTGATGGTTCTGTAAGGTATGATAATCTGGTAGCTTTTGTGGTAAAGCCAAACCCGAAGCCGGCGCCAGTGGCAGTTGAAGCACGAGTGCTAGAAGCCTGCGATTTGAATTGTCGTTTGCCCATATTATGCAGACGTTTCGATGAAGAAAAGGGTACAAGATAGTTTGTATGAAGTATAAGGATTATCTGCTCTTGAGGTATGGAGGGGAGAGATAGGCTTACAAGTATCTAGGTAGTGGAGAAATTTCAAAGGCCGAACAATCAATGACGGAATTGAAGTGGTGGTGGGGTGGTGGTTCAGATAGAAATTGACCAATAATCTGATTGCATTGTGCTTAGTAATATTCTAGCCACTTTCTAGCACCAGCCGATCTAGCTGTAATGGGATTAATGCAGCCCCAGAGCCACAAGATAAATAATTCTGCCAACTTTGAACTTCTCAGGCGGTCAGACAACGGTTTTCTGCTGCAAGAGAATCGACGTGATGTATGATGCCAATCAGTCGTGGCCAAGACTCGAAAAGAAAGCTTCAGTATATTTGTGACTTTACTGATTCAAACCTCGGAAGGATAAGATTTTTATCGCAGTTCAACAAGAAGTTTGAGAGTACTCTAAACTCATCCGTGAAGTTCATATCATTCATAAATGAATACCTTGGCACTTTTGCAGATATCTTACCTCTCCAAAGGTTGCATTATATATCGAAAATGGCACCTCTGTCCAGATCCCACCAGTAAAAAAATGTGAGATCATACTGTTTAGGGAGATGAGGTAGTATTGAGATATGAAAACAGGTTGATGGCTGAGAATTCTGACAATGCCGGCGTGGTGTTGAGTTGCGGGAAGGGCTGTTTTGTTGAGTGTCCTGGCTATACCGATACTCCAAATTATATGTAATTGGTTGCTCTTATGAAGAAAAGAGTATGTATTACACGTTGTTCGGCTGAAAGTATTATGCACTGTCCGACTGATTCGGAAGTAGTGGTTGCATGTTAGTGGCATGATATATGTATGAATGGGTTTCAATAACTTTGAGATTTAAAGAAATGGCATGATGGAGAGGAACATAGATTCTATTCCAAGACAAAGGAAGAACATCAGTCTATGATTTTTTCCCACGATGGATTTCGCAAACATGATATTCAATGGGATGAGGCCACATGATATCAATTATTCGTTGGAAGGTATGAAGGGGCTTGGTGTGGTATTGTAGTTGCCAATCATGGCCGTGAAGCATTTGTTAATGAGCGTGGTTGCTTAAGGGATGCAACTCAGTAGTAATAAGTGATCCTTCTAATTCGAGCGAGTGCAATCAAAGGTTCCATACATACTTTCCCATTTTCTGTTTACAAGTTTTCCTTTGACAATTTACTTCTCATCATAACAAACATTCAACTCATTCATTATAAGCTTGGAATAGCATACTTATCACTCACTTGCCAACTTCATTCCTTAATGATGCTTCTAGAATAGGTAAGACTTACTTGTCCAGTATGACTTCTCAGCTCGTTAATTGCAATGTTCCAGCAGAAGCAAGACTGTTTACATTTATATTCCACGATATCTATTGTCTAAAAGCAACAGGAATTCAGCATTGCAACAGTCAAACCTCGTGCTCCATTACCTTGTGTACATCGTGTTTCGCCCCAAAATCAAAGCCATGGCTCGCTTCACTAGTTTCTTCAAGTCATCAAATAAACCACAAGAGGAACCCAGAAGACCACTTTCATCAGCTGCACCTTCTGTTGAGGTCTATGTTGATCACTTTACCGAGGATGGCGATATAGCTTCCATAAGGATTACAGATGGTACAGACAGGAAAGATAGCGCTAACAGATCCGTAAATAACGCGAAAAGCAATGTCGCATTTAAAACCACGGTTTCGATTGAAAATGAAGGGAATGGCCGCAAACTCAGCATCCCTAAAATCCGAGAGCGTAGGAAGATCCAAGAGCCTACTGCTATGTCAAAGTGCGAAGTGTGTCGTAAAGCCAAACTGGAGATCGACCCTGCGACACAAAATCCTGATCTAAGACTCAAGAATTGCGTTAAATTCTTAACAATGCGTGCTAATGGCGAGCATGTAGCGGATTACGACTTACCAGACGGTGGCACACATAAGTTGCCCAACAAGCTTCGATCCTTGCGGAGATTCTTGAGCAAACAATCCACTATAATAGGGAAGTCCAGTGCAAACAAGATGCATGTTTCTCAACGATTGAGGCAATATTTAGACATGAACTCCACTGCGGATTATTTATTCGAAATTCGAACTGTAGACCAAGAGGTTTCTAAAAACGAAACAAGGTGGCATTCATATTTCTGGGTTCCTAGAAATTGGGATCCAATGAGCCCAGAACCACGTTCTAGGAGGAGAATCAATAAAAATAAGCTCTTTTGGAGGTGCTATGGTGGACCTTTTCAAGTCTATCCGGGACATTTTTTTTGTCCAATGGATGAGATCAGAAATTGCCACAATTCATGCACGACAGTGGAGGGCACAGCAGCTATAAGAGACTTCCGTCTCCTTCCGTATGTCCATCCAATTAATGTTCGCATGACATGCCGATGTGTTAGAGGAGGAAAGAATAGCCTTGACCAGAGCTGGAATGTACGATTATATAAACGAATGTCGGAGACAGAAAAGAGGAAGGAGAGTCAGGAGAGATATACGGAAAGGATCACTGCTAACTCGTCTAATGATGATCGAAAGTCGAGGGCGAAGGTGAAGGAGAATTCTGAGTCGAGTTCCTGGGCGAATCCTGGTCTTCAATTTGATTCCTTGACAGATGACACCAGACTAGTCATTGAAGAAGCTAAAAGAGCCGCAAAGAATAGTAAGGATAAGGAAGATCATATCAAGTCACTGGAAGGCGAGGATGGCCTATCAAGAATTGAGGAGGAGACCAACACAAAAAGCCAGAATGAACTGGTGAATAATGACAAATTTTCAACTCTTGTTGATGAAAACATTGCATTCACCGATTATGGAGCTTCTCGGGACATCGGTTTAGAAGGACCAGAAAGAATCCGAGAACCGCACCCTTCCGTAACTCAAGATGAGAGTATTTCACCAACTGGCTCGGGGACTGGCCGAGACAGCGATGCAGAGGAAGGAAATCGAATCCAAGAATCCCGATCTTCAGTAGCTCAAGATGAGAGAAATTTAGCTGCGGGCTCTGAGTCTCCTCAAAACACCAATTCAGAATGGGCAAACGAATTTCTGAACTGGCAATTCCCATTAAACCAAGATGGGAGTTATTCAGCCATTCGACCTGACTTTTCAGAACAATAGTTAGATGGATGGGATTTGAACAATAGCGAGCAACTTTGAATGTATTTCAGCCTTAGTCAGAATATAACACAGCGCGTTTTATGATTCATTGATTCTGCAATTTTGAGTTATTAATTCTTGTGGTAAGGTAGCGTACCCTTTCAACGCGTGATTTGATTTGATGTACATGTATCCCATAAAGTGACTGCGAGATGATATTGAGAAGATTGTTGGTAGATATCTAGTTGAGGTTTTGTGAAACAGGATTCAGTATCACAATATTGCGTGCAGTATTCAGGTCACGAAATCTTGATGGGCATAAATTAAAGTCAAATTCATAGACATTTCTCATGGCATTTACTGTTACAGCGACTCTCGGAGGGGAAAAAACCCTGTTCTCTTTTCATTCTTGAAGGGAAATCATATTTGCACAGGAAATGCGTGACTTGACTCATTTGTTGACTTTTGTGTTCTCGAGTATGTGATGAACTTTATACTTGTTTTAGTAGAGAACTTATTAGGTAAGATGGACGTCTGTAGTGTATGTAATTACCAAATCTCGGCTGGAATTTCACAAAATAGTTGGGACTTGGGGGATCGACAATGTCGTGAGATAATTGACACCTGGTGTTTGGGGACTTGGAGGCACTAGTGCCTTAAATGTCTACGGCATCCTTTCGTGATGATATGGATATCTTAGCAGATATAATCCTCATGTAGACAAAAGCATTTTGATTCAGGGAATTATGTGATTGTTGAATTCGTATAAGGATACGTCGTGGTGATTGAGGATAGAAGTTTGATGTGATTTTGAAGTGTTGAATGGTGTCCATCTTGATTTCGAAATTCACTTTAGTGCCTCGAAGATCTATATACCATCTTCCTTGTGGCATGTTAGTTTCAATTCTAGTGTGTAAATTGGCCTTCTAATGACGATGCTGGGAAAAGAGCAGCCGACGTAGTTTATCATTATATAATCATTAACCTCACATGTATCTCTTGAAGACACGTACACTTCCCACACACCGGAAATCCAACCTTCAAATATGATGGAAGTCAAGGATAGTGATCATATAGCACACTTAACTGCGCTTCGCAAGGTATTCTTGCATCATTTCGTGGAAGTAAGTATATTATATCTCGGCACGCTCATCCCTAACTAACACGGTCTACCAGGCTCGCACCATTCCTCCACCAGGAATCGAGAATGTCGAAGAAATGAGAAAGAAACTACCTCTCGTGCGCTATTACGGAGATCTACCAGCAATGGACGACCCTTGGTTTCCCTTTCTATTCGCAGCTTCCAATAGAAGAATCGTCCATAAACCACCACATGCTCTTGAACGTCTCGGGCCGCTCATGCGCAGAACTCAGTATTTGGTTCGAGTAGAGATTCTCTACAGGGTGATATTCCTAGTCGAGTCCATTGACGACGATGGCCGTCTCATTTTCGTAGAGATTGACCGACACCTTTTAAGTCGCCCGTCGGAACCTGCAGTGTTGCCGGAATGGCTTCAGGGTATGTTTGTTCCCAATGTTGGGAAGGGGTTGGAGTGGGCGTGTGAGGATTGGGGAAATAAATCACTTTTTAGGTGTAGCTCTTGGTCAAAGGCAGGAACATCTTGGTGGTAGTCATATTGGTCTGCTTGGAGGAAAGTAATCTGAGGGAAGGCAATTTCAAAATGGGTAATCTGGGGAATAATGGTAATTTGGGTAAACGACTTCTGATTGGCGATGCGAAATCTAAGGATTATACTACTATGAAGCTCTAGGCATTGGAAATGCAATTTTAGATCTACTGAAAAGTCTCTCACGTCCTTCTTTTTTGTTTCTGATCCATTCTTGAATCTTTCTTTTGCTTGAGTTTCAGTTCTTGTATCTTTCCTTTTCTCTGACTAAGACGAATCCAAACTCTCCGTCTTCTAAATAATGAATACTGAAAATTCAGGGGAAACAAGGAACTAGATCCGTTCCTGAGGCTGCAAAGATGTGACTGGTAGTCAAGTTCAGCAAACAATGAGTTTTGAGGAGCACTCATATCCAATAAAGAAGGCACGAGGTACCTATTGAGGGATTTATCTGGACGGAATAGAAGCTATAATTCAGAAGGTATGACTAACACAAGGAAGGGACGAGATGAACTAAAGCCTATCAAGAGCTGCCTGTTGTTATACTCGGACCATCCTCAATATTCACTTGAAGCTTTTTTACCCGAGCTTTGACTACCACTTCTTATATTCATCTTCTCACAATGAGTCTCTCTTTGTTTCGAGTTGAATGTTACGTTTCGTCATCATTTTGGCCTGTCTATCCCCCAGTTTCAAAGTACCAGTAAGGCTAGTACAATGAACATGGCACTTGGACGTTTTTTTTGAAGTGCTTTTCACTTCACTGATTTTGCATGATCAGAGCTTCCAGAGCATGAGTTTAATGCTGTCTTTCTTATCATCTGAGTGCTCAAAATTGGCCTCGTTTCTTTCCATAGACTTGTGCCTTCATTGTTTAGGCTCACAGGAAGTGATTTCTGTCTTGGATAGTTCAAAATTACTGGAGATGATTATATCAAGAGCAAAGATGAAGCATTCTGAATGACACTTTGGGATCTGAGTGCAGCGCACGGCAACCTCCGAATCTTTGTACCTTGAAATTGTGATGACATAGAATATTCACTCTTGATGGCTAGGCAGTGCCATCTAGACACCTTGATAAAGTTTGTTCTAAGCGATCGCCCACATATTGTACCTCCTTCAGCGATTTCGCTTCCACTCCTTTTTCCTAACAACTACAATCATTACACAACAATCATTAACAATAACTAGAACCAGCAACACAATGGCACCTAGAGCTAAAGCAACTAATTCCTCCTCAAAGAGTAAGGGACTCATTGAGAAAGAGGATATCTTTCCCACGATCGTTCATTCAAACCCCGTCACACCTCTTCAGAAATCTCTTTTAAACTCTCCTTTCAATCCTAACCTCGAAGAAACTCGCGACCCTCAAGATGCGCATGGCCTGGAAGAAGCAATTGACCCACAGTTGATGCAAAGCAAGGCGATCAATCCTTCTGTCGCCCCAGATTTCAATCATCCATTTTCTTTGGAGGTTGATCCTTCATTGGCTCTGGGTACAAATCTCCCAGGTTCAGTCCCAGCTTCATATTCAATTAATTTAACAAATCAATATGATTCAAGTAGCGACTTTGCTGAGTATATCCCCAATCCAAACGATTACAATTCATTCCCTCTTGACAACGGTGGAGCCCCTTCATCTTTCCGACTCGGCAATACAAACGACAAGGTCGAATCTCAAAAGTCATCTACAAAGGTGCCATTTGTTGATCCTATGCATCCGCATGCGCACCTGAAGCATGTGGCTGTGTTTTGCTGCCAGTCTCCAACTTGTGTACATGAGTGCAAAGTTGATTATAAGTATGCGACTCGCCAATTTACATTGCATTACTCTCGACAATCAATTGAAGAGCCATTGTACAGTGGTCGCAAGCGTGTTGTGCCACAGACAGTCAATCCAGATCATCGCATTCCGATGCTTCTCCTTTCCGGAGCTCGGGTCTACAGAGTCGAAAAGATGGGAGAGAATCCGGTCGTGCGACTTTTTGTTGGTGACATCATCAACCGCAAGAAGAAGTATTGGGAGGTTTTGCCTGGGGGCGCAGTTGAGCAATTGGGATGGATTCAGGAGTTAAGAGACACGGCAGCTCCTGCCGACCGATGTAGTGCTTGGAAGTGCACCACCCATGGAGATATCTGGAAGGTCAGTATCTTAGATCATCTTTTCGACAATGGTGCCGAAAACACTGGTACACTGGGAACCGACTATGACAGCGGCTATGCGAGCTCTTCTGGTCATACGGGAAGTTCGTCAAGAAAAGGATCATCTACATATGGCGACAACAATGCCACTTTCAATACGAGCCCTGTCACTCCCATCAAATACTCGGTCGGCAAAAATAGTGCTATTCTCAAGATGAGTCCAGTAACACCCACCAATTACTCGGTCGGCGAAAACAATGTTGTTCTCAAGATGAGTCCGGTGACACCCACAAATTACTCATTCGACGGTTATAACATGATTTTTAATGCGAGTTCAACCACAACTACCAGCCACTCAAGTGGTGATCAACATGGCCCAGCAACTACCATTAGCAATCTCAAGCCTCGCCGTAACAGAAACCGCAATCGCAGCCACGGCGCCAACAAGATGAGCTCAAGTGGCAACAACAACTCTCTTGAACAAATCGAGGAAGATCTTGAGGACTTCGAGATCAGCGGCGACGTTGCCGAACTTCTTGAGTTCAATGACTACGCCAGTACCAGTGATTGCGACTTCATGCAACCGCAAGCTCAAATGTGGGATGATGATCTCCTTAATGAGGTCAATACTTTTATCGCCGATGGAATCAACTTTGGCGAATCTGTTGAACATACAATTGAACACGACTTCGATGCTATTTGAATTGAACAACATTACTACGAGATAGATACGAGGAACCCTATCATATGGCTGGACCATTACTGTAACTGACATAGACACAAGACTTGATATCATCAGACGTTTATTTTTCGACCCTTTTTCTTTTCTTTTCTTTTCTTTCCTTTCCTTTGTTTTTCTCTGCGTTTTCGGGATCATGGAGAATGGATCACTTATGGCTAAGGAGACGGTTACCGGGTGCACTATTTTTCGATTTCTTTTTTTTGCAGATATTCAGTCCCATGGAGATATTTCGTTCATGAGTTAATAGTTAATGGTACATGGTCATTGATAAATGGTTGATGGATAATGGTAATGAACGATGGGCAGTGGGTAGTGGATATCATTCTTCCATTAGTGAAATACTGAGTAATTAGCGTTGTGGATACATGGCATAGCATGGAGGTATGGAAGAAGTGCTCATTATAGAGTTGTATCTTAAGAGCTGGGCTGGTCCTGGAATTAATGCGATGGTGTTAATTTTTCTTTGCGGTGTTGATTGTGCGTGTGAATATGTGTATGTGAATTTTTTGTGTAAGTTGTAGTGATTGTGACTTGAATATGGTGGATAGTAGGGGATGTGATATGGATATGGCTTGTATACGGCGAGATTGTAGAATTATGGAAGTATTGAAACGGGAAGTTTCTCTTTGAGTTTCATCCTTTGCAAGTGTTACTGTTGAAAAGAACGATATCATGATATGAGAAGACTGCAATAGGTATAGATTTTCGACTCAGGAAACTGCCAGTAAAAAAGTCTAGATCTGAAAGAGAATCTTAACATCTCCAACCTTAGTAACTGCTTCTCTGGATCATAGAGATGCCAGGCTGAGACATATAGAGTACCTACTCCTCAGTAGTAAGAAATTAAAGTCAGCTCGACATAAAAGTATCAAAACTTACGGTATATCGCGGTATTTTCTGGTAGTCTGAGTAGGTATGTGTATGTAAGACAAAAAAAAAGAATGAAAATTTACAATAATAAAAGATATAAGGAGATCGCAGCATGTCACTCCTCCTTCTTCAATGCTTGGTAATCTTGTGATATTGGAATCAATGATTGAGAAACGGGCTGGCCCATCGATGAATAGATGATGTCTGATCATGAGGAGGAGTTTGGAGGCGTTGGAACTGGAGTGAGTTGGGGTTCGGCTTACTTTGTGGATTTATTGGATTATGTAGGATATGTGTTTCCGCGTCATTGGGATTGGGATGGAGATTTTTGTCGGAGTTGGGGTTTGAGAATTTGAGAGGGTGAGATGGTGAAGGGGGAGATGTGTAAGTGGGAAATTTGAATTTAAATCGAGGGATTGAAAAGAGGTGGTGAGATATATTAATTGACAAATCTTCCTTGTATAAATAACATATTAAAGAAAAACGAAAACAAAACACCGATGCTAATACATCCATATACAAACCCCTAACATCCCGACACAAACCCTCAATTCCAGCATCCAAACGTCCCAAATACCACAGAAGATAATATCGAGACTTCTAGCCCATCTATTCTGATCATTTGCTCTCCCTTACATCGAATTCCACCATCGTACATTCTCCAGCTCATCTGATTCTGATTTCCCAACTTTGAGGAAAGGGAAAAAAGGTAAGAAAGGTATGAGATGAAACACCTTTCGGTATTCTCCTTCCACATTCCTATTCTGGTGAATAAACGATTGTGCATGGTGGTGGAGAAAAACGGTTGATGGGGAGGAATGTACTATACCTGCGATTCGGTCGAAGAGGGTTCTTCTATCTATCTATATAGAGAGAGATCCCTCGCGTTACTTGGGGGGGAAAGCACATCATTGATTTTATATCCATTTTGAAAATTCAAATATTAAAAAGACTTGATAAGAAAATGCATTTCCTCACACAAACCCTCATCGCTGCAGCATTCCTCGCAGGCGTTGTTTTCTCGGTTCCTCAGGGTATTCCCCCCAATGGAAGTGGTGGTGGAGATCAATCTACCGTACGTATTGTTATTTCTCTTTGCTCTTTCCTTCCTTCCGTTCCCCTCTTCTCCTCCCACTCTTCTTTTCCCCTCACCTCCTTCACCCCCCTCACCCCTTCCCCATTCACACAAACAAAACTAACCAACCAAAAAGTGCCACTGGAACTGCTGCGAATACGACCCCTCCACCTCCGGCACTCTCTGCAGAAACAACACCGCGCCGTATCCATACGGCGTCGATTGTTATCCAGCGTTGGACGCAGCGAATATGACGTGTTGTCATCAGACGGATTGTCAGGATCAGACTTACTTTACGACGCCGATTGTGGTTATTTAGGGAGGGGTTTGGAGAATTTGTGGGATTTGGTGGTGGGTAGGGGATTGGTTATTAAGGCGGGGCTTTGGGGAGGAAAGGTGGATTGGTTAGAGGATGGTGGGTTTGGGATGGAGTTGAGGGGAAGAAGGGGGTGGGTATTTTGGTTTTGAGAGGGGTGTTGGCTTGGTAATTTTGTTGTGGTCTTTGGATTGTGAGGGAATTGGGCGAGTGATCTCGATTTGAGCATGCGAAGTGGTGCTTCTTGCTTTGTTTTGGGATTGAACGATGTCACTTTCGTTTTAGATAGGTAGTCGGTATACCTAGGTAACAATGGAAAAAACTTGTGGGGTACTAGTCTGTCAACCTCTGGGGCATGAAAATGATGAATCTGGTCAATGTGAAACATGAGACGTGAGACATGAGTTGAAGTGTGAGAGAAGCAATAAGCATTGAATGACTTGACCCGGTTCGGAAGCTATCTTATCTGTGAAAGTATATTCGCAACTAAGCTGCTTATATTTTAATTAGATTATTCAAAGAAAAAAAGGATGTTTCAATGCCTAGATAATAAGGGTTAGCGAATTGCTTTGGCTTTTCTTCAGATGCAATCTACCTCATCCGCAGTTAATCTGTTACCACTTTCATAAACAACTAGACTCGCGACCAAATCCCTCCCATCTTCCTCTGCATTTGGTAATAATTCTTCCCATGGTTTGCTTGGGAAAATATTCCACCATTGAAACGGATTCGTTTTCCACTTCATTGCTTCCGGCCATGTCTGCGCAGTTGGTGTCCCTAAGGTTTTGAACATACTCAAAATCAGACCCAATTGATTCCCATCCTCATCGCCGCGTCGGCTTTCGAGGAGTGGCGTAGGAGGCGAGCGGAGACATTCGGCGAGAAGAACACCCGTAGACCAGAGATCAAGAGACGTGGTGTAAGCCGTGTTAGAAAAGAGAGTCTCGGGGCAGCGATAGCATGTGGTACCAACCTCAAGACATTTTTGGTCAGAGGGCTCAGCAGATGAGGAGAAGGTTGGGTGCCATGCGGTGCCAAAGTCGGCGATGACAACGGGAGTTTGACCATCGATATCCTGAGGTAAAAGAATATTGGATGGTGATATATCACGGTGAATGATTTGTTCTGCATGAAGGTATGCGAGCCCGGATAACACTTGTTTGAAGATCTTTTTAGTTGTGCGTGTGCTGAGACCGTTGCTACTTTTTGATAGTAGATCTGTTAATGTGTGTGGCATGTGTGGCAGTATCAGAACTAATCTTGATTCTTGATCATACATTGTTGTGATTAGTGATATTATTGAAGGGTGTGAGAGCGTTTTGAGGATAGCAATTTCACGAGTGGGAGAATGTGGCTCCATGTTATGAGTTTCTGTTATCACTTTTAAGGCATAGGAAGCCTCTACATTGTCGCACCTGTAAACTTGAGAGACAGCACCACTCGATATATGGTGACAGTTTTTATAAGATCCTATGGTGATACCGGGGCTTTCGGGTGTTGGCAATGTTGTCGATAAAGAGGCCTCGCCATTTTGCTGAGTAGGATTACATAAATCATCGTAGGCAGCCTATGTATTGTATCAGTAAGATAGTTACAATAAATTGAGCGTTCACTTAACTCAAGAGTCAAGGGATTTTCTCCTGGCGAACTACAAAGAAAAGATTATGGAAGCAGAGAGTATCACGAGAAAAGGGGAAAGACATATTGCTCACGTGACAGAGAATGCTTATATTTGAAACTATAAACTCACTCTTGATGACGAAGAACTATAAGCCTCTGCTTCTATTTCAAATGCAGTTTTCTGCGTGTTGCCGCCAAGACCACCAACTGAGAGATATTTCTTTCTATAATTAGGAAGATTAGCCATGTCAATTTATGTGTTGAAAGGGAGTGGTGCCACTTTACAGCTTTGAGATATTATCATATCGTTCAGAAGCTTTCAAATCATGCTTCCAATCTGGTGTAGAGCTCATGTTGTTGATTTGAGATGATGTCAACAACGATAAACTAGATATAGAGAGTGTTGTCTTGTAGACTGCGTTCCTCTGCAAAGATGCTTTATCCGAGGTGATTAGTTCGTATTGGATAGGAGTTGATCTCTCTCGTTTTCGGATAAAGTTCGGATGTGTCTTATTGGAAATATAAGAAGCCTTGTCTCTGGTTGAGCATGTAGTGTATTGCAGTATTGTGAGTGAGGAGATCAGATGCAGTGGATACGTGAATATTATTAGATATTAGATGATGGATACTATGGATACTATGGATACTACCTACTACGTAGAGCATCCAGAATGTCCAGACTATTCCCCTGTTGTCTCTCTCAAATATTTGGTCAACCGACAGGTTTGATAAGCATTACTTGCTTGACTTGTTATTTCAGACTGGCTTTACCTGCTTTACCTCTACCTCCTTCAACGATATAAGGTTTCATAATTTCTTACACGAAGAAGAAGTGACACATCACGTGTTCTTTCAATCTAGCATGCAGCAAGTATTTGCATTGCTCATTTTGTTTTGCATGATTCTCCAGCAAGGATTATGTGTGGATGGAAGCAACCGACAAAGCATCGACCAATCAATTCCAGAAAGAGAAAGAGCCGCTTTCACTCCTTCGAGCTTGGAATCGTGGAGAACTTCTAATTCCAAGAGCGCATGATTATTTATCATGTATTGATATTATATTGTTTACTCCATAGGGCCTTTTTATAAGAAAGAGTACTTTACATACAATTTTATATTTGCCAGAAATAATTCTCCATTCATTCCTTTTTACAACAAGTACCACTGCAGCTACAACTGCTCATCCTGACCTACAAAGCAGAAGAACATGAACAATCATTAGTCACACTAGATGATCAACTCATTGGGAAGTTAGGATTACAACAAATCACAAATATGGATGCAGTAGACCGACAAGAGTATCCGGCTATGCTGGTAAGTTATTCCTTTTTCCACAGAATCACAGCACACCGAGTCTTAATTCTTTAATTCTAGGATCGATTACAACCAGGGCCAGCTGCAGTAAAACTTAATGAGCGTGTGAAGAGGATAAATAAAGTGAATACGGAAATCGCGGATTGGTTGCAGGTACATATATTATCGGATGGCTGCGATGGCATATTATTTACACATTCAATAGGAGCGCCGCAAAGTGGAAGAACAATATGCTTCCGGTCTCCGAAAGCTTGCGCGCAAACCTCTACAAGAAACTGGGGGAGATTTGGGGTATGGCATGTTGGGACATTCGGTTTTAACATGAACTAACCGGGACCTAGGGTATTCGATACACCATGGAGAAAAATTGTGAATTCGGTCGAATCGATCGCGGATTCTCATCACAATTTGGCTGAACGAATCTCCAAGGATGTTGAGCAACCATTGCGACAATTCGCTACCCAAAATCGAGAAATGCAGGGAATGACAACAATACAAGGGAATCTCGCGGCGATGGCTAAGGAGTTGGAAGATGCGCAACATGCCTCGGACAAGCTCAGCAAGAAGGGGGGGAAAGCAAGTACGCAAAAGGTGGAGAATGCAGCCGCCAAATTACAGAATGCGGAACAACAATGGCAAGCACAAGCTCCATTCATATATGAGAGTCTTCAGGCAGTAGATGAAAGACGATTGAACCACCTCCGCGATGTCCTCACGCAATTCGAAACACATGAAGCCGACAGAATTGAGAGAAGTCGAGTGGCCGTTGAGCAAACCTTGACAGCATTGTTGGAGGTAGATACTGCCCAGGAAATTAGGAATTGGTCTGAAGCATCTACGACGGGAAGGCCCGTCATGGAACGACCCGTTAGACAACTTTCGAGCGCTGGAGACAGTGGCGCAATGCCATTACCTCCTCCTACTCCACGGTCTACACATTCAGCAGCTGCTAGTGATATATCAAGACAAGAAGGTTCTAGTGGTAAGCTAAAGTTCTTGAATTATTGCTATTTCTATAAAGAACACTGCTTTACACAATTATGTGATTTATGCTAACTTACGACATCTAGATTCGAAGCTAAAGAGCCGATTTGGCACGATGCTTCAACGTCGACGCCAAAGCATTCATGGAGGATTTGCTCGCGCCCCATCACCGAACAAGGGATTCGCGAGTTTGAATCGCAATTCCAACAGCAGTTCAGGACGACCAACCCTTTCACCTCATACTTCATCAAACAACTTGCGCGATTCACAAGACAACCGACTTTCTGCTCTTCCCGAATCACCATCTAATCGCGATACTTTGCAACCTAATGGCAACTCTCATGGTATGGGCCAAGATTCATTAAGTGCATCAGATGCGATTAGACCAGCTACTTCCAATGGTGTACCAAGCCCGGGAATGGTGGATCTGTCGGAAGTGGAACCACCATCGGGCCCACCTCCATCGCATTTCAAAGAAGCCCAAAAAGATTCTGAAGGCTTCACGGTGCCAGCAGCCATGAACGATCCTATCTCGCAAGCTCTTAATGAAGCTCACGAGCAAAATGAACCTCAGTTCAAACTTGATATCCGAGATCAACCGATTCCCGAGCAAGATGCAGATGCACAAGCTGCATTATCAAGTGTTGCCAATACTTTGCGCTCATCTCAATTAACCACTCCTGGTCGAAAAGTCGGTACCGTCCGAGGTCGAAGAGATGTTCGAAACACAGTCTATGTCCCTTCGCCTAATCTTGATGTTAGTACCATAGAAAACAACTTGCCTCCTTCACCGGCTTTCACACCCGGAGGAGCACGTGCTGCAGCATTTGCAGCTATTTCGGAGCATGGCCATGCTGCGCCAAGTATATCTGATGCAAATTCAATTCGTTCCGGGCATTCTCTTTCCAATAATGTTGTGGTAAAACATGCTGATATGCATCACCCTGGCCTCAATGCGTCAATGATAGAGACTGTCAGCGCCACACTAGAAAACGGAGCAGTGAAGACAGTTAAGGTTAGTGGGGAGATTGCTTTAAGCTATATTTCGTCACCGAACGATGCTTCGTTGCCAGCTTCAGGTAAGTCAACCTCACTACATGCAGCTGCAAAGTCTAACGTATATAGGAACCGAAACAATCAGAATCAACAACTTTCCCGCTCTAGAGGCTATTGGTCCTAATAGAACATTCATTCATCCAGTATCAGCAGAGAAATCGGATGAATTTACAGTGGACCTTGCGTCAGTATCGCACAAAACATCGCCCGCATTTACTTACCGAGTGCACATTGATGACAAGGATATGGCTGGTTATTCGCCATTATTGTTAAAACCGGCGTGGAAACCAGTTGGTGAAAAGCTTGGTCTGATTATCGAGTATGCACTTAATCCAGCTTTCTCCTCGGATGCCATAACTTTCAACAACCTTGTTATCGTAGGTAAATACACAGGTGCTGGGGCTGCAGTGTGTAAATCCAAACCTTCTGGCACCCACTACCGTGACAAGTCTGCTATTGTTTGGCGTCTTGGCGATGTTACTCTCGGTCATGAATGGCATAAAATGAGTGCCTTATTTTCCGGTTCAGATGGCGCGGTTCAGCAACCAGGTCACGCGGAAGTCAGATGGGAAGTTCAACGCCCTATTTCTGGTAGTGGTATCAGCATTTCAAGACTGGAAGCAGTTAAAGGTGCTGAAGAGTCAGATCCATTTGCAGATGAATCATTAGCTCCAACGGCAGGTAATTGGGTTGAAATTGAGACTAGTAGGAAGATTGCCAATGGGGTGTATGAAGCAAGACAAAGCACAGCATGAAAAATGGGATAGGATTGAAGGTTGAGGGCTCAGGAAGGAACGGAGTTCTTTTCCAGGAGTTGTTTTTCTTCTATTTCTTTTGTTTTTTTTTGCATGCTCTTTAAGAGTATTTGAAAAGTACATAGGTGCACACAGGGGGGTTCAAAGCATGGTGGAAGAGTAATGGTTGGAGCATGGTGGAAGCGTTTCTTTGAGTTGATACCTAGCGTTTCACGCTGTTCTTTTTCTTTTTCTTCTTGTAGTGTAGTATATGTATGTATGTATATACTCAATAACCAGCTTGTTTGAGATTATGACATGAACTTTCTTGTCTATCTATTTTGATCATTTAAGTCGTGATTATAGATTGATTGATGGATGGCTATTACATACATATCATATCACAGTCTACTTTCTTCATGATATGCATTACATTTTCTTCTTTTGAAACGGCATTGTAGGGATATTTTACATGAGATATTTATCAAGCTTTCGTTTAGGAAAGGAGGATGTTTTTAGCTTTGAATTTGAGAGAATGGAGTGAGAATTGATATGATATGATATGGTAGGATGGGGGTAGGATAGGATAGGGGGTTTACGGATATAAGCCTCGTGATGATTTGATTCGTGGGATGCGGGATGTGGGATTGGGGGTTATGGTTTGGTGGCTGTGTGGTGTGTGAGGGTGCTGTGTGAGGGTGTTGTGTGAGGGCGATGATCCTGGTCCTGCTGAAAATTCAAGACGTGAGGGAATCGTACGATGGAGGCTTCGTGTCGGTATTGTGATGTGGTGGTATTGGTGATGTGGTGGTATTGTGGGAGAATGATCTGAGGAATAATTTTTCTGGGGAATTTTTTGATTTGAGGTGAGGGGTGGGGGGTGAGGGGTGAAGGATCTCGAGGTAGGATGAGGAAAGTAGGATGGAGGGAGGTACAGTGAGCTAGATTGGGAAAGAGGGGTAATGGGGTGAGATGGGATGGGATGGGATGGAATGGGATGGGCTGCGATATCTTTCAGGTAGTATGGTAAGTCTTCTGATCGGAGAGAATGTGGTTGTGGTTGTGGTTGTGAGGAATACTAAATAGATAGATATGAATTGGAATAGTAAAACCATTACTCGATTTAGCAATGAGGGGTTAGTTAATATGGCGATTTCGTGATACTGGGGTTTCTCGGAGAAATCTGTGGTGAGACGGTTTGTGTATGTATGTAACATTTGATAACGGATGATGTGTGATTTGAATGAATAAGTATAGAAATTACCTACGTCACTCCCCTCATTGCTCCTTCTAAGTTTGTGAGGTGGATTGTGGATTTTGGATTATATTAATTACCCCGCTCTGGAATCTGGATGTATCTCGTAGAGTTTGAATAATTATCGAGAGCAAGATTGATAACTTTCTCTTACTTACAACCTCGACCTCTCGCAACTTTCTCTAATCTCACAACTTTCTACAACAACAAAACAACAACAATCCCTCACGTTTTTCCATATATACTACTTCCAACCCTTCAATCCCACTATCAAATCCAGTCATATACAAGCAATCATGTCCAACTACGGAAACGAAGAGCAATCTGACAGTTACGGCGGACAAACTGATACCTACGGTGAGAAACAGGCGAGTGGTATGATTTGTTTATTATCCCTTCCGCTTCGCTTTCAATTACTGACTTTTGGCAGGTTATGGAGGTAGAGATGATGATACTCAGTCTGGTGGTATGTATTTTTTGTTGATGTTCACTTTCCGTTTTGATGAAAATTTGGATATGGTATCGTGATGTGGTATGGCGTGAGGCTGATTTCACCGACGCAGGATATCGCAGTACAGGAAGAGATAATACGAGCAGTGGTCTAGGTGGTGATGATATTGAGTCGGGTGATACTTATGGTAGCACTAAGTAGGATGGTTATGGTAGTACCAGAAAGGATGACACAAGCAGTGGCTTTGGTCAGGATAATACATTGTCTGGTGATAGCTATGGTAGTACTTGGAATGAGAACACGAGTGGCGGCTTGAACGATGATGGTGCCTCGGCTGGAGATACTTACGGCAGCACCAGAAGCAATGATACGGCAAGTGGATATGGTCAAGATATTACCTCATCTGGAGATGCGTATGGCAGTACTGGAACCGGCAATACAAGAAGTGGCTTAAGTGACGACAACACTTCATCCAGAGATACATACGGTAGCACTGGAAGAGACAATACATCATCTGACGATACATATGGCAGCACCAGAAAGGATGACGCAAACAGCAGCTACAACGATGATGTCACATCCTCAGGTGATGTATTTGGCTCTACCACTGGCACCGGAGGTGGTTCATATAATAATGACAAGATTGATGGATTTGGAGGAGTGAAGGCTAGCTCTTCTGGATACGGTGATGATGTTACTGCTGACTCTGACGTCTCAGGTGGATATGGTGGAGACAAGAGTGTTTCTCAAGGTTTGGGTGGAAGTGGTGATAATACTATATCTGGAGGCTATGGTGATGATGACAACCAAACCTCCAGTGGTTATGGAGCCGCCAAGTCTGGTTATGGAGAGGGAGATTATGATGACAATGATCAGTCAACCTCCAGTGGATATGGTGATAATGACCAGGGTAAGTCTGCATTGAAGAAGGGCTTGGAGAAGGCCAAAGAATTGTTCAATAAGAACTGAAATGATGGTGATACTTTGAGGATGCGACGATCATTGAGTATGAGATTCTCTTTTTAGCGATTGCAAGGGTTGCGCTGTGAATTTATTCACCCACATACAGTTCATCTGGGAAGCGATGATTTTAATTCTGCTCAATTATATGGGATACTAGTACATGCAGACACGAAGATATTTAGGATGCGAAGACTTTTGGTTTATTCAATTTATATGGGAATTCTGAAAGGGATACTAGGATGCGGAGATATTCGGATTGCGATGGATTTCAGTCAAGGGTATTTCTCAAGGGCTATAGTTTCTCAATGAACTCCACTTTGGCCAGATGCTTTTCAACTTTGATTGTGATACTGGTTGATCATCCGAATGTTACAAACTCTTTTGCTTGTATACACCTCTAGTCTTGGGATCAGAAGACTACTTTGTCGGCCTTTCATCGGGACACTGCTCAATTGTCTCTAAAAGCTCGAATATTAAAGACTATTGAGTGAATGGAATAGGAGAGTTTCCAAATTTCCCAGGTCTAAAAGGGGAGATCTAATGAAATGGTAGGTGTAGATATCTTCTGTCTGTCAGAGCAAAGTATACCATGTGGCAAGCTTGAGAAAGACTCGAGCTTATTACTACATTCTCATCCCATGAAACAATTCTTCCTTGATATGAAGTTTCTTAACATTCCGATGTTGTAGGGAGAACTTGAATACTAAATCAAGGCAGGGAAATGGTTTCGGAGTTCGCTCAAGAACGGAGGATGAGGTAGAGAAACGTGTAAATTTGATGCTTGGGATTTCGATATAGATACTTTTGAGGAGGATCTGGTGCGATTTTTGGATAGGTATGTGCATAGACGAGACAGTTTTTGGTAGTTAAGGGAGCAGTACATGGTATAGTTCCCCTCACAATAAAAATAAAGGCCCAGGGTTGAGCGTCACAAAAATGACGGCTTAATGCTGGTTGGATATAGAAAAGATGGTGTTTGTATGAATACAACAGCACTGAAATATCGCATTTTATCAACTGCGCTCTATAGCATGGTACTAACTATACCATCCACTTTGTGAGTTTTATCTTGATTCATGACACTATCATGTCAGAAACGATATAAGAAAGCCAGTTGTAGGAGAAAGATTCTCAGCATCATATATCATATATCATGGTATTATAGGCATGTTGCAGCCGAGTTCTTAAGCGAACTTGCAGCAGCGTCTTGGGGATTTTTATGTGCTTGTTAAGGGGCTTGAGAAAGTAGATCTAGGAATAGAATGGAACTAGTTAATCTGCTTCGTGATGAAAAGTTGAAATGAAGCGCAAGCATGCATATTCAAATTTCTACTCGTAGAATAGCTGATCTTCTCCTTGATACCTACGATCTCGAGTTGAAGGAGGGGATATGTAATCTTACATGAGACATGATTAATTAGACAATGAAGACATTGATAACTAGACTCTACATTTAGGTTCTATGGCACATGTGTTCTACTCAAACCGACACATGCACATATTAGGATATTGGTTCGTGGTATGGTACACAGCGTTTACTTTCCATTATGTGATATATAACTTGCAATTGAGAGGTACCATCGGGTTTCGAATACTACAGCGATAGAGGTAGAAGACCGATAAGATGGAGAAGGAGAATTCTTTTGTAAGAAGCCACGGTTAGAAATAAAGCGAATTGTAAGGAAAATATAATCGACAAAGAGAAAGATGTGAAAATAAATTGTATACGAGTGATACTAAAAGCGTATAGTGCAAAGAGATATTGAGGGGAAAGGAAAGGAAAGGAAGAAGAGGAGACATACATCTCTATCTAGATTCCAGACGAGAAAAATCTATGTTATTCACCTCCCCCCTCCAAAATCTCACATCTTCACATTCTTTAAGAAAGAGGATAATAACCACTCGGTCACTTTTGTCACCGATACTTAAATCTGTATTTATATAAGTCATCACCTCACGGTTTAACCAAGATTGTCAAAATCATCAAGCACAACGTTATCGATATCAATCTCAAAACCAAACATCAACAAATCCTGCATTCATTCTACTCCAATATTCCATTCCACGCTACCCCAGCCATCCCTCCTCCCTCGCCTTTCCACAACCCATGCCCCCTCCATCCCCCCTCCATCAACCGAAAACAGCTCATTCATCCAAAACCTTGCCTCTACTCCTCCTCCCGTTCTCAATGTGTGACCCTCGCCTGCCTAATAATCGCAAGCACAGTTGGTCCATGCATTGTTACAGTCGCTGGCAGCGTACACCTAGCATTTGTTAGTTTGAAAAGTCTTATACTACATCAACAGAAATACGTGCAAGTCCAGCAGCTTCGCACGAAGCTTCGCATTGCTCCCGAGTGGGACAGGTATAAGGACCCCAGGTATTCTGGCGGCTTTCAATCGCAGAGCCCATGCCAAAAGCAGCCAAGGCGAGAACTACAAGAGAAATAGAGGCCTTTATGTTGAGAGTTTTGGGGTAGAATAGATGTTGCTGTGTTTGTTGGGTTGTGTAAGGAGACTTTGAGGGAAGAATAATAGTCTTTTCTGGCTAATCCTCTCATTATTTATATCGCCAGAAAATTATGCGTGCTATGCTTAGTCCCACATTACCGGGAATGTCATTGATGCATCATTAAGCAATATCGGGGAGCTTATCGGCCAAATTGTGGCATATAGTATAACAGGGTTTTCAAGTGAGGCTATCTCCATATTTCAATATATCTGAATCGCTCAAAAACCTCACCGGTTATGGAAAGCAACGAAGTCCTACCGGCACCTGGGACCATCTTCCTTATAAGGGCAATAAGGATCCGGTGGCCTTGGTACGGAAGAGGGTTTCAAGTGGGGCTCGCGTACCCCATGGCTGTGGCGAGAGGTATTCCCCAATGGCAAGATAAAACGTAAGCAACCCTCCCTCAAATGGTAAACAGAATACATGGGGTGCGCGAGTCCCACTTGAAACCCCCTTCCGTACTCGTGCGGCCAGAAAGTATGCAACTCCGGTGCTAAGAAAACCAGGTTAGTCCTCTTGTAGTTTACCATCTTGTGGTATGTGCATCTAGCGTCGAAGTTGCATACTTTCTGGCAGCACGAGTACGTAGCATCTCATATAATGGCTAAGATACACAGCAAGTCAGGTACCAAGTGGATATTTCTGAGACATAAGCAGGCTGCATGAGCCCAGAAACTCTAACTTGCAGGGAGATATGCACGTCGTAGCCAAGCCTTAACCGAAAGCTGCAGCCTGCTTATGTTTCTAACGAAGCGAAAGGGTGCACGCACTTGATGAGCTCGCATTTCCGATCTTTCTACATTAGGTAGTTCCTGTTCATCATTTGTAACGCCTGGGTTTTCGATCAAGACAGGGAGAAGAAAAGCTTACAGACTGCTAATATTACGAGCATGGAGTCCCATTCGGTGCTCTTGTTTGGAGCCACGGGTTACATTGGAGCAGCGTTTCTGTCCCGCTTTAGCAACAAATATCTCACATCTCCATCACCACGATATAAACTTACAGCATCAACTCGAAGTCCTGAGAAAGCTAGAAGACTAAGGGACTTATTGGGAAACATCGAGACGACGGATGTTACGCTTAATGATGGTGTAAAGCTTGAAAGGGAGGTCGAGAAACATGACATTATAGTCCAACTAGTCAGTCTTCGCACCTCCTAATACTCTTGGGGAAATAGATACATTCAGCTGATTCTGCGAAGGCTGATTGTGATGCTCTCGAAGGCACCAAGTCTATTCTGAAAGGAATGAAGACGAGAAAAGAAAAAAAAAGGATATCTGCCAATTCTCTATCATGCTGTAAGTCCGCTAGTTTTACAGTCAAACTGCGTTTGCTAATGGTAACTTTTTATCAAGTCAGGGGGAGGTAAGTTTTCTCCAACTACTCGTGCTACCAGAAAGTATGCGACTCCTGCCTCAATAGGATTAAGACCCTGTGTGGAAGCTCACTAGAGCTTGGAAAGGGCTTAAATCTTTGAAATTTGAACTGAAAGTAGTAGAGCTTCAATATAAGCGAGCCATTCAATTGATTGATTTTTCCAAATCTCCATTTAATATAATGTAATTTAAAGAAGCAGTGGATTCCATTGGCCTATTAAGACTGATATAGTGTATTTAGCGCCAGAGTTGCATACTTTCTGGCAGCACGAGTACCTTGTAGCTCAAGTTGATCCAGTGTTAGCGTTTCTTTTCGAGGAAAAAATGAATGGCTATTCGTCCCATGTAATCATTTCTGACATGGAATCTGACCTCATCAATGATATCCCAATAAGCAAACCCCGTAAGCAGACCCTTCTTAGATTTGGGATTTCTAAGTAACAGAAATCCAAGATCGCGTTGTCGACCACAGTATTGTCAAAGCTGATGAGGCTGGTGATTTACTATCCTTTACTATAGTACCATTTGCCGTGTATGGCACCGCTACGGGTTAATCTACGAACACAAGCTTGGTAACCAAACATCTATGCCTGTTCCACGACTCGTTCATGTTTCTGTGGATAGAAGAGCCGTGGGACAACTTGGACCTGGTGAGAACCCGTGGATGATATCGCACGTCAATGATGGTTGGTCTCCCGAACTCAATTTTATACTAGGAAACGATTCCGGCCGGGCTTTGCTGACGATTCTTTTAGTAGCGGATCTATTTATGACATTATTGGAAGATACTACAAAGGGACACGAAAAGACGGCTTCTATTTTGCTGATGGAGGTTACGTTCTAGCCCGCGATGTCTTCAGAGCTATGGCAGAGACTCTCTCTTCAATAGGGTTATCCGAGGAACCATCTCCAAATACTTACACCGAAGAAGAACTGAACGAGTACAAAGTGATAATTTTTTTCCTTATACACCATCCTTATTATACTAACATAGAATCAGATCAGTTTCTGGGGCGCAAGTATCCAAGCAACAGGTGATAAAGCAAAGAGTACCGGTTGGAATACTCAGCATACGGTCGGAGAATTCCAAGGTTATGTCGTGACTGAGACGAAGAGACTGGCTTTTCAGCCTTTATAGTCTTATGGAAGGTGTCTCGATTACTCGGATTAGAATACGTATACGTCTTCTAGGCAACAATTATATTGAGATTAGGAGTCACATAGCAAGGCACTCAAACCTTCGTGCACCTAGCTCTGCTCAACTCGAGCGGGACCTGACATTCGAGGCGTCGCTAGACATCACGAACACCGGTGATCATGACGGCTGGGAAGTGGTTCAGATATGCATTTCTAGCAAGGAGAGCCGAGTAGCAAGGCTCAAGAAAGAATTGAAAGCATTTTCGAAAGTTTGGATTCGGATGGGCACCTCGGAATCTGTCGCCGTCAGCCTTGACTAGTACGCTATGTCTTTCTGGAATGAAGTGGGTGGAGAGTGGCTCTCATAGAAGGGGACCTATCGGATCATCGTTGGCAGGAGTGCAGATCCCAAGGACGAGATCTTGTACCATGATGTTAAGCTAGAGGAGGATTCCAGATGGTCGGGAATTTGATTTAAGACATTTTAGCAGTACTATATTATACCTATCATTAGGTACTCATCATAGCTTTTTCTGATTGCGATACTCAAGGAGTACCAGACAACCCGAAAAGAGTATGAAGTACGTCTCTGATATGGCACCCGCCTTAGAACAAGTTCGGAAAATTAAGACGTAGATTAACTGTCTTAATGTGTTAGTCAAGAAACCGTCCTGTAAATGCTCTTTGCGTGATTCTGGAGATACTGCTTGTGCTGCAATCCTATTCGATAGACCCTGCGTCAGAGTTATTAACGTTCAAGGGATATTTTAGTAACCACCAACTGGTGAACCTTAGAGGCGGCTGACTAAGGTTACTTACACCGCCTTCATCCGAAATGGCAGAATATATTCAATAAACATATCAACGAATCCAATCTCTTCTCCCCACGACAATAAACAATTCTTGAAGCTTCGTATAATACAACGCGTCAATTACAACAGCTGATAAACTTCAGCTCAAGGTCACTACATTGAAACTTACTTCGCATTACGAAACTTCTGCATTGCAATATCTAAAAGGATCTATCGACGCGACGCGTGTTGCTACAATGGCTGTTCACGATGTTGCCCCGGGCTACATTACTTTCGAAAGTAGAGTGGCATCTTACCGTAGTGCGCAACCCCTTACTGGTCGTAGGACGTCGACCACTGGATCCAAAGCTCCAAAAAGTCTTAAATGGCCGCACAAATCCTTGCTACCAGAAGAAGTATGAAGTATTCTATTTTTGTTTACTTATCGCTCGCTGACCTTGCGCAAAGCTTGCGAAAGCAGGTTTCTTTTACTATCCTTCGCAATCCAATCCCGACAATTGCGCTTGTTTTCTCTGCCATAGATCTATTGATGCCTGGGAGGAAGGTGATGACCCATTGAAAGAACATTTGAAGCATTCACCAAATTGTGGATGGGCGATTGTTGCCTCGATTGAGGCACAAGATGAAGAATTGAGCAGGGAATTCCCCGCCAGTTTGAGAATGGTCGAGGCTAGAACTGCGACATTTGCAGGAAAATGGCCTCACGAAGCAAAGAGGGGTTGGAAATGCAAGACTAAACAGGTATGGACTGTCTGTTATTCATGGCAACATTTATACTGACGAGGTAATAGTTGGTCAACGCTGGATGGAAATATACTCCAACTGAAGAATCGAACGATATGGCGACTTGTACTTATTGTTCATTGGCATTAGATGGATGGGAGCCATCTGACAAGCCATTGTATGTTTGGGAATCTCTCCAATGACTACAGAAGCTGACTACCCTCAGGGATGAACATTTTAATCGATCACCCGAATGTCCTTTCTTCATACTTATCGACGAACATAACTCTGAACTTGCCTTGAAAAAGTCAACTGCCAAGAGAGGCAGAACATCGAAAGCATCGCGGCTATCTACACAATCCGCTATTACTATTGGTAGTGATGCAGATGTTGAAGAGGGGGATAGCATCATGTCCACAGCCACAATAAAAGGCAAAACGTCTGGGCCCAGAGGTCGAAAGCCTTCGGCTAAAAAGGCAATCCCAGCTCAATTATCTACACAGCCCGCTATTGATGTAGCTAGTGATGCAGATGTTGCGGAGGGGGATAGCATCATGTCTACAGCCACAACAAAAGGCAAAACATCTGGGCCCAGAGGTCGAAAGCCTTCGGCTAAAAAGGCAGTCCCAGCTCAATTATCTACACAGCCAGCTATTGACGCTATTAGTAATGTAGCTGCCGAAGAGGGAGACAGTATCATGTCTACAGCAACAACGAAAGCGAAGACATCTGCACTCAAAGGCCGAAAGGCCCCAGCCAAAAAGGCCGCCTTATCTCAATCGTCTACCCAACCCGCCATTGACGTCGCTAGTGATACAGATGATGCAGATGATGCAGAGGGGGGCAGTATCATGTCTATAGCCACAACAAAAGTGAAGACATCTGCACTCAAGGGTCGCAAGGCTACGGCTAAGAAGGTCGAACCAATTGAGGCTCCTAAAGTCCCAACGGCATCTTCTGATCGTGGGAGAAAGAGGAAGAGCGACGACGAGATGTCTCAACCTGACCTTCCAAATCCCCAACCTAAAAAACGTACTACAAGGGCTAGTACAGCACAAGTTGTTATTCCTCAAGCATCCGCTGCACCACTACGAGCACCCACTTTTACAGACTTGCAAAACCAGGCAGAAGCTTCGGACTTGCTTTGGA